CTTTTCAACTCACGGTAAAGATGAAAAAAGTGAAATGGATGATAAGTGAAAGTAAAGTGGCTTCCATAATTTGGGGCACTAGTGTTTAACTCATGGAATTCTGGGGCAGCTGCTGAGTCTGACCTACCTAACTAGCTCCCCATGGAACTCACTGGCTCAACTTGTCCCTGTAGTGAAGCCCTCAGCCCTCAAGTCACCTGGTAGGGCTGTACCTGTGGTTCACAAGAGGATTTTACAAAGGGCTTGCCCTGCTAAAGTTGAGAGAATGGTAAGATGATCTTATCAAACTAAGCAAGACAGGTACTGGCTTTGTCTATCCTTAAAGTTAGCACTTTCAGTCCCTTTAAGTGGGAAAATTCCAGTAGTCTTAAACATTTGGCCTGGTTGTATTGCTGATTCTATTTTAGTCCCCATATATTATACCTGATAATTATAAAAAGGAATTCCTTTTTTATCTTTTTTAAATTTTTATTTAATGAATATAAGTTTCCAAAGCACAGCTTTTGGATTACAATGGCCTTTTCCCCCCTATAACTTCCCTCCCACCCACAACCCTTCCATCTTCCGCTCCCTCTCCCATTCCATTTGCATCAAGATTCATTTTCAATTCTCTTTATATACAGAAGATCAATTTAGAATATATTAAGTAAAGATTTCAACAGTTTGCACCCACACAGAAACACAAAGTGTAAAATACTGTTTGAGTTCTAGTTATAGCATTAATTCACATTGTACAATACATTAAGGACAGAGATCCTACTAAGTGCAGTCACTCCTGTTATTGACTTAACAAATTGACACTCTTGTTTATGGTGTCAGTAATTACCCTAGGCTCTTGTCATGAGTTGCCAAGGCTATGGAAGCCTTTTGAGTTCACCGACTCTGATCATATTTAGACAAGGTCATAGTCAAAGTGGAAGTTCTCTCCTCCCTTCAGAGAAAGGTACCTCCTTCTTTGATGACCTGTTCTTTCCACTGGGAATGCCTTAAGGGCTAATTCTGAGGCCAGAGTGCTATTTAGGACATCTGCCATTCTATGAGTCTGCTGTGTATCATGCTTCCCATGTTGGATCGTTCTCTCCTTCTTAATTCTATCAGTTAGTATTAGCAGACACTGGTCTTGTTTATGTGATCTCTTTGACTCTTAGACCTATCATTATGATCAATTGTGAACTGAAATTGATCACCTGGACTAGTGAGACAGCATTGGTACATACCACCTTGATGGGATTGAATTGGAATCTCCTGGCACATTTCTAAATCTACCGTTTGGGGCAATTGGAATTCTTTTTTTTTTCTGATAGAAAAAAACTTATTGCTATATATATGGATCATAATATAAGCTGTAGTAAAATAAAACACAAATTCAGCTTGTTTTCTTCTTTTTTTTTCCCCAGAAAGCTTTTATTTAAGGAATACTAACTTCATGCATTTCATAAATACAGCTTTAGGAACATTGTGGACAGCACTGGGGTAGAGCAGGTAAAGCCTCCGCTTGCAGTGCCAGCATCCCATATGGGCACCAATTCAAGTCCCAACTGCTCCACTTCTGATACAGCTCCCTGCTAATGCACCTTGGAAAGCAGCAGAAGATGGCCCAAGAACTTGGGCCCCTGAATTCACATGGAAGACCCAGAAGAATCTCCTAGTTCCTGACTTTTCTGATCTGCTCAGCTCTAGCCATTGGGGCCATCTGGGGAATAAACCAGCAGATGAAAGATCTCTCTCTCTTTCTCTGTAATTCTGCCTTTCAAATAAAATAAATAATTTTTTTAAAAAACTTTTTATTTGGCCAACTCTTTTAGAATTGAAATTTTGGAGATTTTGGGTAAAGTGATCATTTAAAATCAATGTCTTTGAACTATCCCTATATGTATCTGCAGCACAGTTCATGAAAGAAGAAATAATTCATTAGTATTTCTAGGAATGTCCTCAATCATTATCCCAAGCCTCCATCCCCAAGCTATAACAGGCAACTCTACAGCAAGGCATTAAAGGCAGGTAGGCCCTCCTTGCCATTTTAAAGAAATTCTACCAGGCTATTTGGTGTTCCTATTTCATGTTATCTATCATTTACAGCTAGTACAGTAAAGTAGAAAAGGCGCTGAATTGAAAATAGAGTTAGGAGACTTGATGTAAATACCAGGTTTGCCATTGAGTAGCTCTGTGACCTTTTCTGTGTTCACGTTCCATCAGCAATATATGAAACCTGAACCAGACACTCTTAAAGATCCCCTACAGACCCAAGATTTTGTAATTGCCTCCTAACTAGGGGATTTCATTTTTCTTAAGAGAGGATGCCCTCTCTCCACCTCTTTTTCCTTGCTCAGGATGTACCCAAATACTTGAAACTGTACTCAGAATTAAGGACTTCAGTTTAGCTACCAGAGTATTGCTCGTACAGCAACTGTAAGACACTAAAGAAAAGGATCTCCTGCTACTGCAATTTACAGTCAAAATCTCTGGGGGCAGGTGTTTTATGCAGGTGTTTCATACAGTGTTTAAGACGCCACTTGGGATGCCTGCATCCCATATAAGAATGCCTGATTTGTATCCCAGGTATCTCACTTCCAATGTAGCTTGCTGCTGATGTGTAACTGGGAGGTAGCAGGTGGTGGCTCAAGTAGTTGGGTCCCTACCACTGACATGGGAGATAGAAGTTTAGTTCCTCACCACTTCTCTGGTTGTTGTGGATATTTGTAGAGTAAATCAAATTGGATAGATGAGCTCTCTCTCTCTCTCTCTCCTTCCTCCCTTTCAAATGGAATAACAATAAATAAGATGAAAAACAAATTTAAAAAAACCAAATCTCTGGTCTGGAGAATCTATAAGAGTGGGCTGAATTTCAACGCAATATCTCAAGACATAAAATTGCTGAAGACATTTAAAGAAACAACAAAGAATGTGGCTCTAATATGTTGAAATTGCCATGGCAACTCACACCAGGGCCATAATATCAGTGGAAAGCAAGCATCTGAGAATTGCCATGCCCTCTGGCTCTCCAGCAGCAGATGGGGTGATTGCTTCAAGAGAATGAGAGGGCAGCAGTCAGTGCAGTCAGTGTAAATGTCTTCTTTTCTTCACTGTCCACCCACACCACCTTCCCATGATTTGAAAAACCTCATAGCTGGGCCATCCTTGACTGGACACAACCCTGCTTTGAAGGAAGGCTTGTTTTCCATTCTTGCTCTGACTCACTCCTAATGTGTAGGTATCCAGAAAACCGGGAGCTTGGTGAGGGTGTAGACACATTGCTTGTGATTCTAGGGATGACTTGAAGCCTAGAGAGGAGGGAGGCTAGGAAATGTCTTCAGGTGTGTCCAGGAAGAAATGGTGTGGCTGAACACAGAGCAATGACATTGCACAATCATCCTTTAATTTAGGCAAAGTTTCAACATGTGATAAGCACCTACCATTGGTAGTGTTTGCACACATTTGTAATGTTTCCTTCAGTTCTGGAAGGTTAAGTTCCTCTATCAAAGTAACAATTTTATTTGGGAAGTGCAGAAAGTATTCCCTTCCACAACTACTCTATAAGTTAATTTAAAAAAAAAAATTGAGGAGTGGCACTGTGGCGTAGGGTAAAGCCACCGCTTGCAGTGCTGGTATCCCATATGGTGCCAGTTCAAGTCCCGGCTGCTCCACTTCCGATGCGGCTCTCTACTATGGCCTGGGAAAGCAGTAGAGGATGGCCCAAATCCTTGGGCCCCTGCATCCATGTGGGAAACTCAGAGGAAGGCTCCTGGCTCCTGGCTTCAGAGCAGTGCAGCTTTGGCCATTGAGGCCAGTTGGGGAGTGAACTAGTGGACAGAAGACCTCTCTCTCTCTCTCTCTCTCTCTCTCTGCCTCTCCTCTTTTTGTGTAACTCTGACTTTCAAATATATAAATAAACCTTTAAAAAAAGAAAGATATATATATATATGTATATATATATGTGTGTGTGTGTGTGTGTGTGTGTGTATATATATATATATATAGAGAGAGAGAGAGAGAGAGAGATACAGTAAGAGAGATCTATCTGTTTGGTCCACCCCCCCACACCCCGAAGTGGCTGCAACAGCCAGGTTGAGCCAGGCCAAAGCTAGGAGCCAGATGCTTCATCCGGTTCTCCCACATGGGTGGCAGGGACCCAAGAAGTAGGGCCATCCACTGCAGCTCTCCCAGGGAGAGCAGGGAGCTGGATGTGAAGTAGAACAGCTGGGGCTCAAACCAGCACCCACACAGGATGCTGGCGTTGCAGGGAGCAGCTTTACCAGCTGCTACAATGCCAGCCCCAATTTTCTTTTTCTCAGTTTTCATGGATAAGTATAGAAAGAGAGTCTGCTTTGAGGAGGATGGCCCAAGTCCTTGGGCCCTGCACCCGTGTGGGAGACCAGGAGAAGCACCTGGCTCGTGGCTTTGGATCATCGCGATGTGCCGGCGCAGTGCGCCAGCTGCAGCGCACCGGCTGCAGCGGCCATTAGGGGGTGAACCAACGGAAAAGGAAGACCTTTCTCTCTGTCTCTCTCACTGTCCACTCTGCCTGTCAAAAAAAAAAAAAAAAAAAAAAAAGAGTCTGCTTTGTGTAAATAAATCATATACTGGATAAGAAAGCAGGGAGGCTCATGTATATACAGTACTCTTTCAAAAGAGTTTGCCATTTCATGGACAACCAATATAATACTGGGAGTCAGGTAAAGGAAAGTTGGCTGTACCTATGGTCAGACTTGATACTGCAAATTAGATTCTGGTAATATGAATCTACTTTTTAACAGTTTGTTTCTTTTAAGTAAGAAATGCATACACATGGGAATAAAACGACCCACAATGAAAAGGCTCTGTCTCCCTATTCCTTACCTTCCAGTTCTCACTCCCAGATGCAACCACATTCATGGCTTTTTGTAGAGTCTTCCAGAGTACTTTAGGAATTTACATGTACTCTTGTTTTTTTTTTTTTTTTACTTCTTTAACTTAAAAATATACATTGGAAACATTTCCCTATCTATAGATATTATCCTTACCTCATTCCTTTAAATTGTGTGTGCAAAATATAGTCCACAGGTCAAATTCATTCTCCACCTGTTTCAATAAACAAAAGTTTTATTAGAACATCCATTTCTCTTCCCATTGTCTGTGACTGCTCTTGAGCTACAATGGCAGTATTGAGTAATCATGACCCAGACTCTATGGTGACAAAGGCTAAAATATTTGGCCCTTTCCTTTAGAGAAAAAGTCTGATGACTTTGCCTTTTTTAAAAAAAATAATGAATTTATTTTATTTGAAAGGCAGAGTTATAGAGAGAGAGGGAGAGAGACAAGGTAGAGGAGAGAGAGAGAGAGAGAGAATCTTTCATCCACTGGTTCACTTCCCAAATGGCTGCATCAGCCAGGCCAAAGCCAGGAGCCAGGAGCTTCATCTGGGTCTCCCATGTGGGTGGCAAAGGCCCAAGGACTTGAGCCATCTTGTGCTGCTTTCTCAGGCACATTAGCAGGAAGTCGGATCAGAAGTAGAGCACCTGGGGCTGCAATCGGCACCCATAAGGGATACCAATGCTGCAGGCAGCAGTTTAACCTGCTGCGCCACAGTTAGCCCCCCCTGATTTTGCTTTAAATGACTATGTAGTGACCAGCATTGGTGTGCAGCAGGTTAAGCCATCGCTCGTGAAGCCTGCATGCCATACTGGAATGCTGGCTTCAGTCTTGGCTGCTCCATTTATGCTCTAGCTCTCTGCTAATGCACATGGAGAGGCAATGGAACATGACACACTCACATGGTAGATTGGGGTGGAGTTCTTAGCACCTGGCTTCAGCCTGGCCCAACCATGGCTGTTGCAGCCATCTGGGGAATGAACCAACAGATGGAAGTTCTCTCTCTCTGTCCTTCCCTCTCTTTATATCTCTTTGCCTTTCAGATAACTAAATAAATCTTAAAATAATAATAATAATAAATGACTGTGTAATATTCTAGGCATGCAGAGGTGTATTTAAATAGCTCTTCATGAAAGGACATATAGGTCATTTGTAGTTATATTCTTACAAATCCTGGTGCAACTATAGACTAGTTTATGTGTCATTCTCACACTTGTGTAAAGGTTGTTATCTGAATAAGCACCTAGGAATGAGCCTGCTGGGGAAAAATGGCACAGGCTTTTCACTAACACACTTATTAATTTGGTCTTATCAGCATCAACAATATGGAGGAATTTAGAAGACAGATCAAGTGTAAGAATCAATTGAAGGGACACATGTTTGGCACAGCAGCAAAGATACTCCTTGGAATACCTTCATCCTCTATTAAAGTTCCTGGGTACAAGCCCAGACTCTGCTTCCAAGCCAGCTTCCTGCTAAGGCACACCATGGGAGGCAGCAGATGTGGTTCAAGAGCTTGAGTTCCTGCCATCCACGTGGGAGACTCAGATTAAGTTCTGGGCCCCTGGCTTCTGCTTGGCCCACGCCCGATTTTGTGGCCTGTTAGGGAGTGAACCAGTGGATGGAAGATCTTTGTCTCTCTGTCCTTCAAATATAATTTAAATAAATCAATAAAAATTTTTAAAAAAACCATTCAATTGAGGACTATGTTGCTGGGAGATGAAATGAAAAGAACTACTCCAAAGAGGAATAAATGGTTGCTTTCAGCCATATCCTCAGACGGTGAGTAGAGGGATAGAAAATACCAGTATCAGCGTTGAGCAAACCATGCACTACTGTTAAGGTCACCCTTTGTCCTATTTGCAAACTCCCCCCCTCATCAGTTCCCACTTCCCACCCCCATGCTCTCTTCCTAAAAAGAGCTGTGTCAGAGCCTCGGAGGCAAACATGTGTGGCTGTTGGAGCTGCTGCCTTTCAAGGACAGCTGTGTAGATCACCAGGGTCACCAGAGAGCTTGACTTTGTATGGACAGATTCACTCGACTCTGACTTTGCTAGTCCAAACAGGTCTTGGCAATGGGGCATTGGGTGTCCCAGCCCTTGGAGGCCAGTTTGAGTTCATTCTTAGGAAGGGGAAATCTGGAGTCAATGAGTTTTGGGCATAGAGTCATCCCTAGGAGACACTAAAGGGTTTAGATCTTCCTATAGAAAGTGAGAGGTAGAACCCAGAATGCAGAACAACTCAGATTTCTACCTTCACCTACTGAGCCCTGCTTTGTGCCAGGAAGTGTGCTAGAGGTGAGTAAACAAGAACAGAAAAGAAAATGTGGCTCTCTGTGTAGGGAGACAGATAGACGTGCAGTTCACACATGTGCATACCTTTAAAATTTTTTGAGAAAAACACAGGAATAGTTGACATCTGTCAGACAAAGTGTGAACAACTAACTCAAAGTGGTTAACAGATCAACATTAGATCTCACTACGTTCCTTTTGATTGTGTCATGTCTTTGCAAAACTAGGTTTTTGGCAATTGCTGTGCTAAAAAGCAGGTACTGTGCAAAATCAAGCATGCAAGAGGAAATAAGGGTGATGATGTACAACCTGATTCCAAGTCTGAGAAGCTCTGCATGCTCCACAGGTGCACCCCTAATTGTGGCTACTTACAAATGACATAAAATACATTTTTTTTTCTTTCAGTTTATGTGACATATTTTCAAATGACAACTATGTTGTTAAAGTTGCTTATAAAGTATTAAATATTACAAAGTAATAAATATAACTGCTAGGTATTTCTCTGGGCCTGTGCTATACTGTGAAACAGTTATGGAAACCCTAATAATATGGGGGAACCAGATAGGAGGAAGGTAGCTGGAAGAAATTTTTTCCATAATTTCCATGTAGTCTTGTATCTATCCCCTTACCTGGCAATCCAGCTAACAATGAGATAACACATGAAGAATTCAGCTCAGAGCTTGGCACATAGTGAATAAACACTGGCCAGTATCAATCCACAGAATCCTGAGCACCACAGGGAAGTAATATTTAACCCTAACCACTCTCATTACATCAGCTTCAAATTCATAGTTAAGTCTGCAGCTTCTCATATCCAGTGCTGTTGCCATGGTTCCTGCAGTATCTGGAGTCAACCAGTTCCTTCTGAAATCAATAAATTAGCAATCTCTCTAAAGCTTGTTGCCATTTTGTTTGAATGACTTCATGGCCAGTCTTTTGTTGGGGTTTTACTCATCATTTTAGTTCATAAAATGATTATTCTGTTAGGAAAAAATGGATTTTAGTAAATCCAGTGGTGATATTGCTTCTAGGACTTTCTCTACTATTTCGGTTTTTCTAAAATTTCTTGCAGCTTGGATATAGTGTGGTTTGCATTTTTTTTAAAAAAAGCTAATTCGCCTTCTAAGATATTTTTCCCCTCCAAGAGATAAATTTATTAATAATTCACTACTCCTCACTTGAAAAAACACACTTTCATTTTGAATACTACCTAAATTTCAAAGCACTCATGAAGATGACTATTTATATCATTGGATAGAGCCTTCCTGGTTTTTACCAAACCTGGTAACTTTATTGCCAGTTCTAGGTGAGTTTTCAGAACTTGCTAGGCTTGTTAATATTAGTAAAGACAGGTCAGATTTAGATGAAGGCGGGGAGAATGACAGCATTCCAACTGTCCAGATCAATGGTTCTCAAATAGAGTGGTGGTGGCGAGTGGAAGTGAACCAGAGAATGCAAGATAATTTCCTTCCTTCCTTCCTTCCTTCCTTCCTTCCTTCCTTCCTTCCTTCCTTCCTTCCTTCCTTCCTTCCCTTTCTCTCTCTCTCATCCTCTATGACACTCTGCCTTTCAATTAAATAAAAAAAGTTTTTTTTTTTAAAAGGCAAAGTTAAAAAAGAGAACAAGAGACAGAAAAAAAGAGATCTTGCATCCACTGGTTCACTCCCCAAATGGCTGCAATGGCCAGGGCTTGGGCCTGGTCAAAGCCAGAAGTCTAGAAATCTATCTGGATCTTGGATGTGGGTGGCAGTGGCCCAAGCACTTGGGTCATCTTCCGCTGCTTTCGCAGGCACATTGGCAGGAAGCAGGATTGGAAGTGGAACATCCGGGACTCAAACCAGCTGTGATGCTGGCATCATAGGCAGTGGCTTAACCTGCTATGCCACAATACTGGCTCCATAAATAAATATTTAAAAGAAATAAAACTTAAAAGTTTCTAATATGCACTCAGGGTTGAGAACCATGAATCTAAATGAAAAGAAAGGTTATTTTCTTACTAGTCTACTAGTCATGCACACACAGAGAAGGAACTCAGTTATAGGACCAGGACGCTGTGATGTCTCTCTCAATGTAGAAATGTTTTGTTGCCGGTATTATTCCCTAGGGGCTATGTTGACTACATGAACCGGGAAATATTTGAGGGGCAGGTGTTTGGCACAGCAGTTAAGATGCCATTTGGGACATCCATATTGGCAGAGTAATTGGACTCCAGTTCCAATTCCACTCCCAATTCTAGCTTCCCACTAATGCACATCCTGGGAGGCAGCAGGGGATGTCTCAAGTACTTGGACCCCTTCTACCCACATGAGAGACCCTTATGGAGTTCTTGGTTCCTAGTTTTAGCCTGGCCCTGTTCTGGCTGTTGCAGGCCTTGGGCGAGTGAGCCAGCAGATGCGGAATCAATCTCTCTCTCTCTCTCTCTCTCTCCCTCCCTCTCTCTCTCTTTCTGTTTCTCCCCCCCCCTACCTTTCAAATAAATGCAATTTTTTAAAATAGAATTATTTGGGATTCTTCACTCCTGTGGCTTTACCTAAGACATTTAACATTTTGTGGCTGATTGATGCATAGCCAAAATTTTATGTATTTGTAAATTCTCAAAGGCTTTCTTAATCTTTTTCACAAAATTACAATTACACAACCCTGCACCTGTACCCCACAGCCTGACTTTCATGTGTACTGGAGTCTCAAGGGTACAGGAATATTTCTGCAGTGGATCTCATGCACCAGTGAAACCTGGATGCTTCTGAGCAGCCTGAAAGGCCAAAGGAAGGTTTTCCCACTTATTCTGTCTCTGTCCCTTTCACCCCTGCTCCTAATCCCCCAGCAGTACTGGCCAAGCAGATGGTTAGGGTGCAATGCCCTAGAGGTTAACAGATGTGAATTTTGATGGAACAATGAAAGAACAGACTTTTCCATCAC